GAACTCAGCTTGCTCAGTTCTAGTGAGTTGAGCACACAGGCAGTGGCAAAAAACAGAAAGGGGAAAATTGTGACTGCCAAGCTGGTCAGCATGGCTTTCCCTACAGGATGAAAACTTCATTGTTTTTTTTTTTTTTCTCCCCAAATAACAACTCTTCTTATTTCGCTGTGCATCTCTAACATCCCATCCTAGTATTACTAGTGGGACAAAAATGAGGATTTCATGACAAGCTGTTCATTAAAAACAATTTAGACATTACAAACACAACTTTTTAAAGTTGGACACACAAAGGAAAATGCTCATCTGCCTTTTTAAATGGAGTGGAAAAAAAGCACACAAAACATCTGAGGTAGTGATTCTTTAAGAAAATGGTGCCTGATCTTATGAAACTTTCATTTCATTTGTCTTTATGGCTTTGTAGAAAATGTCTACTATTCATAAACTGGCTTAGATGACTTTGGTATCCTTGCCCAACACTTTCAAATCCTTTAAAGTTGATGAGAAATTACCAAACACATTTACAGGCTTAATGATGTGAACTCCACGTATACAATGCTTCAGAGACAACAAATAAAATGCTTCTTATTCACTTTTAACATTTGCTATTACTACACTTTAAATACTTCACTGACATTCGAAGCAACTGTAGATTTTCCAGCCATTTAAACATATACACATAAACAAATACACCACAGGATTCACTACTTTAACATAAACTGATTAGCACTATATTTTTTGTGTTTCAGTTTGTTCTATAAATACGTATATCCCCTTATTAGTATTATATAAGGTCAATTGACTACACTGTAATTAAATAATCCTTTGTAGTTACAGAGTATCATCAAGAGCATTCCTCAAACCTTCATTTTCTGTTAAAGTAAGCTTTGGCAGCACATGTCCACTTCAGTAAGTTAGATTTCTTCAAGCCAGGAACACCATATTGAAATATTAGAATGGTACATCAAAGTTGTCCTTGCTAAAAGAAAAAGTCTGATTTGAAAAGCCAGAATGAGTTACATTTCTCAATACTGAAGAAAACTGTTAATAAAATTGTTAATTAAAATATTCAAATTCATGAATTTATAAAATTAATTTTCTGAAGAGCTTTTTAAGCCTTTTATGCTACTGAAATTTAAAAGTGACACTTTTAACACACACACACACACACACAAACCCCAAATATTCAAACTTCACTCAAAGTGAGAAATTTGGTGCAAGACCAAGGGGGCTAATCCCAGTTTCTGGGGTAAACTCTGTTATGTGTTTAACCACTGTATATCGAAGGAGGTGTCAGGAACCTGTTATTACATCAGGGTATATCATAACTTTACAAGATTCCACTGTGTACAATTGCTACAAAATCTCATCTATTTCATAATAAAAAGCTATTCCTTGAAGAGCTGTAATAAAAAATGATGTTGCAAACAAGACAGAATGAAATATTTCAGCATCCAAAGACCCTCAAACTTAGCTGAAGATTATTCTGATTTTACAGAATTTATTCTCTTTTGATGTGCAAAAGTTCTGTATAGATATTCAAGGCCACTTTTAGAAGGTGTTACTCCCAACTGGGAAGTAACAGGTTATTTTTGACAATGAAAGTGCATTCAAAGGAAAAGCATTCCAACTGCACATTTTTTCATCTTAAAGGATGATGAATGTTCATGAAAAATGTGTTCAAGTCATGTTTAGTTAGCATTCTTTAAATCTTTAGTTAGATTCTTCAAAAAGCTTGGCTACTTCTGAGCAACCAAAAATGTGTCACTTCCACTCTGGTAGAATTCCTGACTTAACAGAAAGCCATGATGATTTGGCATCATGGGACTCTCACTGGCAAAGGTGGGAAAGAATTTATGCCCCATAGAGTAATTTAAACTACAGCTATCTTGCAGTTTCAGAACTAATTTATGGATAGGCATAGAAAAACTCTGACTCAGTTTTCTTCCTGGTGGAGAATCCATGAACTATTGGAGGGGCTTTCTTTTTAGTACCTTCCAATCTTGTTTTTTTGGTTTGTTTGTTTGTTTGTTTGTTTGTTTGTTTTTTCATGGAAAAATACTCTTGGTTTTTTGTTTGCTTGATTGTTTTTTTCTTCTGGCAACTTAGAAGAAAAGCTGATCTTTTGGGTTTTATGAACTCAAGGTCTTAATGATGTTCCTGGGACCCAACAGCTGCATTAGAATTGGACATACCTCATAATATTAACACAGCCTATATTTCAACTTAAGCAGTGTCAATTTTAAAAATATTCCTGAAAAAAAGATTTAACTTTTGATTTTTAGACTAGAGAGCCATACACTCCAATTAGAGCAATCTAGGATAGACAAATGTAGTAACAGTCAATGGAGTTTATAGTATCTCTTCCAAAGCAGAAACAAGTATTTTTCAGGAAAATCATACTCTAGACTCTATGCCTATAACAAAAACTAGGTACACATGCAGACACTTTCAGTTAGGCAAGGCGAATAATACACTTAAAATCTGCTAAAAGTTGTATCTGCCTGCCTCTGATCAAATGTAGCCAGGAGAATAGCAACAGCTTGTTGCTGACACCTTGTCACACGCCCTGTAACAACCTGTATATGACCCAAAAAATGCACTATGTAAGGAACATCATTAGGCTGTAGTCTGATAAGATTCTATAGCCTCTATGCATCACCAGAGGGATAAATAAAAAGGCCTGTAGCAGCACATCCTTATACATGCTGCTAGGAGTAGAAAATAACTGCTCAGCTCAGGCATGGCTATCTTGTAAGGTAAGAGAACTTGTCTGATACAGATCAGCTCTTTGAGACTCAGTCAGAAAAATAGAGCATCACAATCAGAAGGATGAAGCACTGTCAGAAGGAGATAGTACACTATCAGCTTAAACACATGGAGACATATCACTGTCCTGCAAAACATTCCAGTTTTGACTGATAGCCTGATAATTTCTTTTCAGTACTTTTTTAGTCTTCTAGAAAATCTGTAAGATATACCTCAAATGCTACAATAACATTGTCCTGTTACCTATAACCAAACAAAATTTTATGCTTGGCTGCTCTCTTAAACAGCCACTTCATGTCTTCAAGTGTTGAACTGAGTGGCTGAATTAAGAATTTAAGATCTCTTGCTACGCCTCCAGCAGAACATCCAATTGCCCAGATCAGCCTCCAGAAGTGGGCAATACATTGTAAGCAGAGTTCACAGACTCTACGTTTGATGCCTAAAGTATCCCCAAAATGTGTTTATATACACACAGATAATTAGTTAAAATCTTAAGTCCCGCCAGTGAAAGGACTAGACAGTTTAACAGATCTGTATTTGAGCAGTTCCATGGCATGGAAATACAGTATGAAAATCTGTTTTGACAAAGTAGATGCAGCCTTCTGTAACCTTCAAAATCAGAGGATCTGTTTAGTGTGGCTCTGCACAAGGTTACCTGATACTGCAGGAAGGCTGCCTCAGTGCAAAAAATCATAAAAAGCTAGAGAAATATGAAGCTGTACATGAAGGACAAGAAAGAAGAGAGCTCATCTATGGTAAATATACTTTCCACAACATGTACAGTACAATTTTGTTTACCTTATGTTCCTAATTCCTCCCGAAGCTAGTGCTGTTTGCTAAATACTTGACCCAGCTTTAATCAGCCACTTGTTCTTACTTTCCTGGAGTATATTAAATTTTTGTTTCAAGAAGGGCCGTAATGACTTCATGGTGATTCCACTTTGAGTCATGGACTCTTCTCTCACTCCCACCACTATTTCAGCAGAGCACTGATTATGAGGTTATGCCTCATATTCTGACTGCGGAGAACGAATTCCAGAATTCATTTTGGTGAGTTCATTATGACAAGTCTGTCTTCAAACCTGCCTTCCAAGCTCAGATAAAAATGTACACAATTGCTAAGGATGCAGATGATCATGATTGACAAGAGTACAGACTAAGTGGGAAAGAAGCTTTACTCTCAAAACCTAGATTCTATTTTAATTTTATAATAACAGCTGGTAAAAAACATCTGAAATAAATAATTTACAATTCAAATACTAATACATCAGCAATATATTAGAAATATAGTTTAAAAATTACTTCATATTCTTGATTAGTATAAAGTTTAATTTTATGCTTTGTATAGAAATGGCAGCTTTACTTGTTACCTCTGTTTCAGCTACTAATTAGCAAAATAACATTGGGAAATTAAAAAATATTTTATTTTACTTTTTTTTTTCTTGGTAATAGAAAAATATCCTTTAAAAATACATTGTTAAATGTATGGGATTGTACTAAAGTAGAATTGTGTCATATGTACAGTAAGGCAGTGTATCAAATAGTGCCCTGTTTTTGTGTTTTTTTGAGTTCGATTTGATTGGAATAGGATGCAAAGTTTTCTGTCATTTTGTGAAGAGTTTGTTATTTTAATGCTATTAGTTAAATATATTCTTTCATATATGATTGTTTCATACATAAGAGCTTCATTTTTCTTAAGAATTGAGAAAGAATATAAAGAAAACTTAATCTAGTGTCACAATACATTCAGAAAAAAAATACATTGTATATCAGTGTTACTGTGTAATGATATATCTGATTTAGAAACTGCTCAGACAATTATGGTGCACCAGGCCAAAACAATCTCAGTCTTTGTTGAATCTGCAAATTCCCTTAGGTTTAATCAAATTACAGAAGAATTGCAGAACTGAATAATTAATTCATAATGTATTTTTCATGGCATAGAGTACCATTTCCACATTTCCTTCTGTAAGAATCATGTGTCAGTGATCCAAGATTTACTTCTATGATTGTTATGTCAACCCACAGTTTATTCTATTCTTTATATAATACATGTAGAAGGCTATTTTTAAAAGGAACTCTGTGCTATGTGGTCTTTTTTTTTTTTTTTTTTTTTTTTTTTTTTTTTTTACTGTACATAACTATTAACAAAATCAAATGTAGATCACAGACTTCTCAGCTAGGAAAAGGTACAAGCTACAGTTGTGATGTAGTAGCATAATCTTAAGCCATAGCATTACTATACTGATTGTATTTGATTCATTCTGTAGCATTACCTGATTAAGAGTGATCACACTTTTAGTTATTTAAAAGGGGGCATAAATGAGGATGGGTCCATGTAGTCTGATCCACTAGTTTCTCTTTTGCAGTCACGCGGAGCTGTCAGACAGTAGCTCGTGTTTTTTTCCACTTGACCTTGCTGAAGGTTCTGAGATGTTTCTTTTGCAGGTTCTTGGGCCATAGGTGCGTGCAGAACTCGTGAATCTGGCATTAATACTAGAATACTATGGTTCATGACTGTTGAGACCTTTGTGTATTCTTTGCTGGCTCCTGAAATAGTGTATTTTTCAATCTTTCCACTGTTTTCTTTATGTTTCAGTAATACTGATGGTTCCTCATTCTGTCTGACTTTGTGAACTTCTACGTAATCCATGAATGCAGCACCCAAAAACGGTGACTTTTCATTGGATCTGTTTTGTTTGACCCGCACTGTGGTTTGCTCAGTTTTGGAAAGCAAATTTTCCATCTCTTCTTGCTTTTCCATGCCTCCAGGGATGGTTTCAGAGATAGTATATAGTGACTGATGCTTTTCTTCATTTTCCACCAAAACTGCTGCAACATTCATATTTGTGGTAGTCAGTGTTATCTTGTTAGCTTCTAGAATGCTGTGATACGCAAAAACAGGAGGCTGATTGTTAGGTAACTGAACTGCAGGCCATCTGGATGATTTTGCACTCTCATTGTTAATAAGGATTGCTTTTCGTTCTGAGCCTACACAGTGACTTTCCCAGCTTCTTTTCCCTGCTTTCTTTTCTTGAACATCTCTTACATCTTGTGTTTGAAGTGCTGATGGAAGGGCGCAGGTCTCCCTGCACTTTTCAGAAAGCAGAGAAGGGCTATCACAGCTCCCTCGTCCTGAGTCTCTGTCTGTTTCCTTGGGTGTAATTTTTGCATTTTTACTGGGACGACCATTGTCATGACTTGGCATAAGTTGATGATCCTCACTGTCCTCTACTTCCAGATACTCAATCAGTAGTTCCTCGCAGTCTGATGTTGGAGGGAAACCATGGCAACCAAGTGCACTCAACAGTTCTTCAGATTTCCCTGTCTAAGGGCATACCAGATAAGACAATGTTATTTCTTCACTACTAACAGTAGGGATTATTTGACTAGTGCAATTATAAACAGTTTACATATTTAGTATGCAAACACTTTTTATAACTCTAGACCTAAAACGAATTTACACAACCGCAGAAAATACTGAAAGAACAAAAGAACTTCCCTTGAGTTCTCTCTGGAGGGAGACAATCCCAGACTTTATGTTCCTAAAATGGAAGGACTGAGGAACTTCTGCAAATAAGGGCTTCAAAGGTTTGGAAAGGAGGAAATGGAGGAGAATGACAGATAAGCTATGCCCTTGTCTCCTCAACATGGCAAGAGACTGTGGAGAATGACTTCCATAAGATCTACTTAGGTCATGTAGGAATTAAGATCTTGTGGTGCCTCAGGAAGAAACTGCAGTTACACACCTTGTCATCAAATGTCATACTACTTCTAGTGCCAAGCAAAACCATATCTCCTACATAACCTGCCTTATGATCAGCCTGAAAGTTTTGCTTATTTTTAACATTGATTAAGTTAAATCTGTTTTATATTTAATTATGGTAATTATTTTTACTGTTACAGAATCTGGAAAAGTAAGTAACGGCAAATTCTTTTGCTGTTATCAATGGAACTCACCTCTAACAGATGTGTATCTATACCTTTTATCTTTGGTCCTGGAACTGGTGGTAGGATAAAAGTTATCATCCTAGAAAAACAAAAAAAAGCAAAACACAAACTGTACAAATGCAGGAGATAAAAGTATAGGCCCCCTCCTACCCACTCCTCTTTCATGTATGTACCAATGACATAGCAATAGGAAGCCTGAAGTCTATCAGTAGAGAATTCAGGGCCCTGGGGAGACAACTAAAAGAAAACTATGACTAAAGAAAAAAGTTTAGGAGAGTTGCCATCCTGGACTTCAAAAAAGCAAATCTTAAGGTTCTCAGGGAGCTAGTCAGCAGTGTAGCCCAGGAGTCTATAGATAAAGATAGATATAGATAGATATAGATAGATAGACACAGAACTGGTCACTTTTCAACAATCAACTTCTAAAAGCCACGGAGAAGGCAATCTCATTGTGTTGCTAGTCAAGCAACTGGGGCAGAAGACCAGCCTGGCTGAACAGGGTAGAAAAAGAAAGTATATGATCTCTGGAAGCAAGATAATGTCTGGAGAGAAACTAAGAAAAGCCACAGCTTGCATTCACATGAGCCAGTGGGGTGCCAGGCAAAAAAGACCTTAAGCAGCAAGAGGAAGCCAAAGGAAATCATTGGACTAGTATCTGTAGTGGTCAGTCACCAAGCAAGTAAGGAGGAGGAAGAAGTGGAAATATTTAATGCATTTTTTGCCTCAGTCCAAGCAACAGAGCTTGGTCTGCTCAGACCTCAGAGATAGAGGACCATGATTAGGGGAGCAGTGACTTTCCATCACTGAAATTGTAAAGGAATAGTTCTATTAGCTCAACACTGGAGGGACTGATGGGATGAAGGAAAAGTCCTATCTTAGTAATTTGACCTCCTTCTCTGATAAAGTCATTTGCTTGGCAGATGAAATGTAGGCAGGAAATGTAGTATTTCCAGATTTCAGTAAGGCTTTTCATATTGTCCCTCACAGCATCCTTCTGGACAGGTGGTCCAACTGTGAGACAAACAGGCTCATACCCCAGTGGGTGATGAACTGACTCAATTGTAGAGTTCCAAGGGTTGCAGGGAATAAGTCTACACCTGGCTGGTGGCCGGTTACTAGCAACGTTCCCCAGGGCTCAAATTTAAGGCCAGTCCTGTTCATTTACGTCAGTGGAATGCATCCTCAGCAAATTTGGCAATAGAACATGCACCGTAACTTTCCTCAGCAAATTTCGCAATAGAACATGTACCTTTATCACTATCACTTCATCAGTAACTTCATCACTGACTAAATCAGTTGGGCACAGTCCAGGAAGACCAGTGGGTCTCTATGTACATACTTGATTGTCATTTGATTCATACTAATCATACTAAAGCAGTTTCTTTCTCTTTGCATTACTCAGACATTATTTTTGGTGGACTTGTATGAAAGATATAAACATTGTGACACTTTTCCCTTCCAGAGTTAGATGGAATTACAGTATGGTTTAATAAATTTGGGGAATTGACAGACATGTAGGCAGAAAGACTGAATTCATAATATAACCTAATTTCTACTAGGCAATTAGGCCAAACCTACAATGTGCATCTTCAATACAAGCAGGAATACTTCAAGTGATATCTGCTAAGTACTTAGTGATTAACTGGGATGGTCAGATTTAATACCAGTAGTCTTTACCAAAAAGACCAAGAAGACTGAGACCTAAAGAACAGAAATACTTCTCTACCAGTTGCAAATACAAAGTAATAAATCTGTAATTTATGCTATGTATCTCTCTTACTAAGAAGGCTAACATCGATATGAAAGTAAATCAAATGTTAATAGCTAATTTTTGGAAAAGTTTTATGAGTTTACAGCTACACAAAATTATGAAATTTCTGACTTACCTGTATCCTTTTAAAATCATTGTCCAGCTCATGATTAAACATATGAGAGATGACAAGACACCCAAGATGATCCACACAATCATATCTTTTACTCTGTAGTCTAGGAAACAAAGGGAATTATTTAAGGATGCATTAGGAAATACAGTCAGAATGCACAAAAAGTATCAATTTTTTTTATTTGTAAAAAGTGGTTAAATCTTCCAAAGTTGGTATTGAATCTAGAGGCCTCTAGTAGCACAGACATATCTCAATGCAACATCTGGTAATTAATATACTTCTTATTAATAGCATTGTGCAGGAAATAAACTTCTGTGAAAAAATTAGAAAAATGCATTAAGATGGAAATATTTTTCACAGGGTTCAAGTCTACTTAGACTAACATTAGTAATTTCATTATCAAATACAGACATAATTAGATTTCGGGTAGAATGGTCTACAGTTATATATTTTTAAAGATTTCTACTTAATGTGACACTTTTTACACTGAGATGTTTATTCTGAATTTTTTCCAAATAAAGCATTAGGAAGAGCTGTTACTGACTGCAGGAAGTCACTTTGTTTTCTACCTAGCACTTTTAATTACGTTATTATCACTCTTTTTATTAAAAACTACCATCATGAAAACAAATATGAATAAGGCAATAAACAGAAAGGATGTGCTTTAAGTTTGTAAGAAAATTGATTTATCTGTTTAACTTCCAAGATTAATGAAGGGTACAGCTAACTGTCCCCTGTGGTGCAGGGAAGCTGAGAATTCAGTTACCTTAACAATGATATTCCTACTGTCCGAGGAATCAGTGGGCTGTCAATCTGTATGGGTGCTACAGACAACCTACAGAAGTATTACATGAACTTCCATGAAATAACAGTTATTGAAAGGGAACATGGCCACTCACCAGTAGGAATTTGAATGTACTTCTCTGAGCTCCATTCACTCCATGATCCGTGGTGGTCTGGTTTGCAGTGAATCTGTACAATGTACTTTCCTGGATTTAAACTAAACATTTTATATTGTGTTTGCTGTCCAACAAAAATAGTCTGAAAATGAATTAAAAATCATAAAATCCATATAAAAATTAGATATTTTTCAAAGAAAATCATAGCTAGTTTAATCCTGATAATCAAGTTGGGAACATATCGGGGCTGTTCTGAAAGTAATGCTTCCTATTTTATGATGTTGGACCACGATGTCAGAGGTGGATGTTGGTGGAATGTTAGTAGGGGTGGAATCTTCCCACCAATATCCCATTACATTTTGTTTCTGTGCAACAGATGGCAGCACAGGAGCAGTCTGACAGAATGGAGTCTGACATCAAGTGCATGTGAAGCAACGGTGTGTCACTGAATTCCTCCATGTGGAAAAAATGTCACTTACTGACATTCACTGATGCTTGCTGAATGTTTATAGAGATCAAACAGTGGTTGTGAGCAGACTGAGGCAGTGAGTGGTGTGAGTGGTGTGTGAGTGGTGACAGTGGGTCATCTCCACTGGTACAGATTTTTTACAAGCACGCAGGCTCTTGTTCATTGCTGGTGAAAATTTACAGATAATGATGGTGACTATGCTGGAAAAACTTTTTTTCTCTGAGAATTTGTTCCATCAAATAGTGTTATTGTGATCTCTCTATCTGTTTTAATTTCCATGGAAATAAATAGAAGCATTACTTTCAGTGTGACCCGCATAAAACTGGGTATCTTCCTAATAATTGTTACACAGGGCATTGAAGTAATGTTACATTTATTTTATTTCTGTAGTTCAACTTTCTAACATAATGCAGCAGTGATGATATCTGTCTCTGCTGTAGTGTGCAAATTAAACTGCTATAAAGACACATCATGCGCATATGAGAAGTAGAAATGAAATGTGGCAATGCTGGGACCCACCATAGCAAGAACTGAAGGAGGCAAGAAAGAACAACTGGGGAAGAAGCTGCATAACAAATAAGGAATGTGGAGCAGGGTAGTAAAGAGTGGATTCTATAGTGGCCAAGGATCTGGGAAGTACAGTGGCAGAGGGAAGGCAGGAGTCAGTACAGAGATGGCTGGGTAGTTTAGTTTTGCAGCAGACAAAAAGGCAATACAGCCAAATACCAATTGCTGGAGCCTACAATTTGTCCCTACTTGTATGAGTTGCAGATCCTGAGTATAGAGAATAATTATTATGTGACCATAACAACTATTACAACCATTACCTAATGGTTATTTGCACAAATGTACATGATTTTACATAATGTCATTGAGCTTTCTGTCATGTAAGAAGTATTTGTGGTTGAGAACAAATTACCAGAAAAAATAAACCTCTCAGAATGAGACCTAACAATTTAAACTACTGTGCCAATATGATTCATATATAATGGCCACAACTGAAAATAAGTACTTCATCACTTGCTATCACACAGCAGCATCTGAGATACTAGTCTTTGCAATAGGAGTACGAGGAACAAACAAGCACTACTTTTGAAAAAGGATGAATTATTCCATGTGCCTGCTTCATTATAGTCAGGCGTGGGACATAACTAACAAACTCTAACTGATCAAGAAAAACTCTAAGTAAAAACTTGCAAGATTCTTACCTCCCATTCCTCTCCTTCTTCAGGCTTCAGTCGCAATTCATAGTCGAGGGTAAGCCATCCAGATCTGACATCAGCCAGTGGGGGTGGAGACCATGTCAATACCATATATGGTTTTCTATTTATTGGCTTTTTTAATTCTAGAGTAACATTTGCAGGAGGATCTGGCTGTACTGTTAAAATAAGAGAACTGATAGTAAAAGTATGAATGATTTTTCTTTGCATCTTAGGAAAATATATGAAGTGGTATGCGGGGCAAATTGCCACCTCCATTGTGTCTAGTAACTTGGAACTGCTTGAATACGGGAAGCAAGAATTTCCTGATAAACAAGGATTTATACATTTGTAGACAATGAAGAACACTAAATAAATGGAGTTCATATTGAAATTTGCCTGAATCATTTATCACCTAAACCATATTTTTTTCACATCATCATTTATGGTTGCTGTTCTCCACACTGTATTTCAAAGTTAAGAGAAAGTTAACATCTTTAATGGTGCGTTATAAATGTTGTTTTGTATCATAATCTTATCAAAATTGGTGTATACCATTAGGGATGCTGAAAACACAGATTTAAATTACAAAGCTGGTCCCCTTCAATCTTTAACACTGAGAAAATACAGCAGCATTATCCTGATGTGCACAGGGATGGATACTTAAACAGTAATACTAAAGTCCTGTATACGCTTCAAAAATAAAATGGAATGTAGGTTTCTGCCAGCCAGGCGTGCAGCTACCCCAGTTCGCAGGTAGAGCTCCTGCATATAATGTATGCGTTTTACCACTTCCTGATGCAAAGTTTACCAAGAAGTCGGGGCATAGAGGTAAAATATAACACTTTTTTTTTTTTTTTTTCCCCACAAGCCCTTTTTCAGTTATCAGGTTCTCAGCAGCCTCAACCTTGATAGAAAAATCATTATTTGCAGTAATGTTCTTTCCCTTAGAAAATAACCTAAATACTTGTCCACAGTCATTCTGTAGAAAAAGTCTGAGAGATTATCAGTACATTGCTATAAAAACACTGATTTAGCTTCTCCTGGGAAAATTAAATCTCAGAAAACAACTTTCAGGTAGTAAAATTTAGGTATTATTAGCTAAAAGGTCAATTTGAATGCAGTTTTTAGAAAAGGATTTTAGCAAGATGGTGTTTCTTTTGGCTTGACTGGAGGAAATATGTGGATCCAATAAATGATTATCTGAATGTAGTTTTAAAGCTTTCAGCACTTTTGGCCTTCAAATGCTAGGAGGATGAATTCTGATTTACTACTACAACAGACAAGATGGTATCTGTTCTTACGTATTTTTACATGTATTTTACTGCAGTCTATGAGAAGAGCTGGAATAAAAAATACTGTATCGAAACTGATGACCCTGAATTATTTGGTTCCACAGAAAACACTGTCTCTTACCTATGTAGGTCACATCCACATAATGAGGATCAGAGCTGTTACTTCCCATTTCATTAGTTGCCTTGACAGTAATATTGTATATGGTCCAGAAAGAAGTGTGTTTTTTATCAAAGTAGCAAGAATTGGGGCCTGCAGTTCTGTAATCTGGACATTCATAAACTTGTTCTTCTCTGAAAGAATCACAGTGATTACACAGACTAAAACACATGACTTTGTTTACAAGTAGTTGCATTTGTAGTAACACTCTACAGGGCTGGATTTGATTCTATATGCCTGATAATGTGAAGGAAATCATAATACTGCTTTCACACTAAAAGGCAACTAAAGAACCCAACTCCTCTACCCCAAAACTAAGACTACAAAGCCTGGAAAGTGCAGGCTTCTTGAGCACGCAGTAGTAGAGTGCAACTGTTGCTTTTCTGAATGCCCTTGTCTACTACATGGCCCTGAAAAGTTTCTGAGAGCCATTAAGCTATTGCCAAAGTCTTCTAACCCACCTGTTAAAAACAGAAAATTTCCAATGTTCATTTCACATTGAAATTAATTCTGCCCACATCAAAAGCTTTCAGAATTTGTGTCATTTACCACCTGTTCCTCAAAAACATATAATTTGTACTTGTCCTCAAAATCCATTCCCAAGCTTCCCAAAGAAGGTAGTAATCGGAAAGAAAGTTCATGGAGAACACACAGCACTTTTTTCCAGGATGCTTGGAGAACTGATAGTATAAAAGAAATGCCTCTGATGCTGCTTCACAAGATTTTTCTGAATAAAATGTTCAACTGTGAGATAAGCAACAATTACTCAAATAGCTCAATGGCAGAGCTTGAAGGGTGGTAGGGGATGGGGCTACCCTGCTGCCAGTTCGCTACTAGTAGTGTATCGCAAGGCTTCATTCCAGGTTCATTTCTGTTCATTATTTTTATCAATGTTCTAGAATGCAGGAGTGGAATGTATCCTCATCATGTTCACCACTGACACTTAACTGGGAGCTGCTGACTACTGGAGGGATGAGAGGCCTTGCAGAGTGATCTAGTTAGACTGGAGCATTATTCAGCAGTCAGCAGTGGCATGAAGTTTAACACAGACAAATGCCTGGTGTTGCATCAGGGAGAGAGCAATGCTGAACACAGGCACATTGGATTGGAGATGAGTGGCTGGAGAGCAACTCAGCAGGAAGGGATCTACAGGTGCTGGAGACAGCAGCTCAGCATGAGCCAGCAGTGTGCCCAGGCAGCCAAGAGGGCAAACTGCCTTGTGCGCACAGCACAGCCAGTGATCAGAAGAGGTGATTCTCTGCTATATATGGTGTTGATGTAGCCTCAACAAGATTTGTGTGCTGCTGTGTGCTCCACAATACAAAAGGGATGTTAAGGTTCTCAACAGGGGAGATTCAGACTGTACATTAGGAAAAATTCTTTACTGTGAGAATGGTCAAACCCTGGAACAGGTTTCCTGGAGAAGTGCTTGATGCCCCATGCCTGTCAGTGTTGAAGAGACATTTGGATAGTGCCCTCAGTAACGCACTTTAACCTTTAGTTAGCCCTGAAGCAGCCAACTCTGGTCATTTTTGAACACTTTTTTCCTGGAGCTATGAGGTCAAGGTGTTACACAGCTGTGCCTTTGTTTTGCAAACACTGATATGCAGTTCCTGCACCACTGCAACTTTCAAGGCAGTTTATCTATGCCATTACAATTCACAGCATTCTGAAAAAGCCAACACTATAAAGAGATCCTCTTTCAACCTTAAATATGTTGTTGCTAGTACTATTCCAGAATATGTCACTTGCACAAAAGCCAAAGAAAACCATATCTCTTAAATGCAAAAACCAGTTAAGCTTGATTTTCTCACAAAATAGTGAATAATTATATACAGCATCTTACCCCTCTTTGCTGTAAAGTAAAGTGTAGTTAGTAGGATGCCCTCCATCGAAACCAGGTTTCCACCAACAGGTAAATGTTTCCTTTTCTGGGGAGCGGCATTTGGTTATTGTAGGCTTTTCAGGAGGTGACTGTCCTGCAATGGATACATGAATGAAATAATTAGTGCATTTAATGCATTAAGTCAACTCCAGAGCTTATAAAACATAATCAAAAGGAGCACTAGAAAATAATATATATATATATATTTTTTTCCTTACAAGGCAGGAAAATATTTTGCTTCATTATTAGCACAAGAAAGAAATGGTGTTCAGTGGCTAGGGCAGCAGCCTGCAACTTCAACCTAGATTCAAAACCCTTTCCCACTGAAGATACAATGAGGAACGACATTTATTTCTCTGGCTGTGGCTCTCCTCTGCACCCCAAATCTGGTAAAGGATTCTCAATACCATCACAACAGGTTTTATAGAATTATTTACTCAATCTATCATCTAGATAAGCATTTTTTCTTCAAAAAATGTGTTTTAAAATGCTAATTATTCCAGAAAAAACTACTGAGTCACTTGTTTTGGCTCAGGAAAAAAAAAAAGAGTTTGTTTGCCTGTGTTTATGTAGCTGCCAGTAATTCTCTTTTGAAGTGCCTATGCTGAGATGACTCAAAAGACACAAAGAAGTAATTCTTGTTTTTCTTCCTACAATGACGTTATGCTCAGTACTCCTTCTAATTGCCTGATTCCTGCCAAGCAATTTACAATTATGTGGATTTCTGATGATGTTACTATAGTCTCAAGAAAATCATTTGGGCAAAAAATAGGGCTGAGAAGATGCTTAAATTTTGAATAGTTTGATGCTAATAAAAACTCTAATGTTCTTGAAACATTTGCAATTATGTATCCATGGCAAATATGGTCTTATTATATCAAAATATATATTCTCTATTATTTAGAGTAAGGCCATTGATTTTCTAAATCTATAATTGCCTAGGGCAGATCTGAAAGTGGGACATTTTAAAAATATCTTCTATTAAGGGCACTTCAGCAAACTCCATGTCAAATAATGAATAATACAGTTAGTGGTAGAAGAAGATTTGAGGCAACTTGGCTCATTCTGTTGGAACATTTAACGTTCCAACAGAATACAGATAATTACTCCCATTTGATGGTAGCTGCTATGTCATGGTCTGTTAGGCAGGGCAATAATTTCAGTCCAGTTGTTAGCGAACAAATGAATGACTCTTACAGAAGTACTACTACCTGGTATCTTCAGTTACAGGTGAAGTCACCACAATTTTTAAGAGGCAGGACATGACCAAAAATTTATGTAAGCACACCTGTATCAGAAGTGACTTCCTACTAAACTCCACACTGTTTGTCATAGAGAGTTTTGCAAGATGCTGAGTGGATCAGCAAGACCAAATATGTAGTGACACAAAAATATGATAAGATGCACTAAGTTGTTCCTCCAGCACTATGAAGGCATCTGTGTGAGGAAGCAGGTTTTCAGGGCTAGCATTTAGGTACCTTTTGTGACACTGAACTACTTATATTTTAAACACAGCTAACAGAACAGCAATTATCCACCTACCACCAGAGATCAGAATGCGTCTTTCAGAGCTCCATTCACTCCATTCTCCAGGGTCTAACATACAACGGACCTGAACAACATACCTCATGCCGGCACTTAACCTATTTATTTTGCACTGTGTCTGTACTCCAACAGGTACTGTCTGGAAAAAACAACAAGGAATTAGGGCATTTTAACAAATAAATCATCAAGAAGTATGCTTATGTCACTGACTTCTGAAAGGCAAAATTTTCAGTCACATATTTGCTAGGATGTTAATTACAAAGAAGTGAAGCTAGCAACCAAATGAACAGGAAAGCTCTTCAGTGACACTGAGATCATGATTCTTGAGAACTGTAGACCTCCTAGCAAGTTAGTACTCCCTCAGATCCACAATGCAAGGAATGCTATCGGCTATCCAACTCCCGGACAGTTAACACTTCTTAAAGGCTAGTTTTAAAAGCTCACTATTAAAATGTCTTATTTAGGCCTTTTCAGTTGCTCTTTAGAATTCCCTCTAGGCAAGTAGCTTCTTCCAATTGTAAGGTAAAAGCCATTAAGGTAGCACTGAGGTCATCTGAATGTAACTTTTTATCCTGGTATCCCAGCTGTGGGAATACTGTGGCCTACTCCTAACAAAATGGCAACAGCTGAGAACAGCAAGATAAATGGTGTGAGTAGAACACCCCAAAATTTCAGGGAGAGGAAGACTGTCCCAGCAAATCATGTTGAGGGGGATGGTGACTCAAATCCCAATTAAGAATAACTAGGGATTTACTGAGAGTCTTTTGAAAGAGTCACCTTAAAAAGAGGAATTTAAGAAGCACAGCCATTTGTAGCACTGAGGGAAGACAGGAAACCACAGTAGCTGCAGTTTCAGTTTGATGCTATCAGAAGCTGCTCTGTTAGCATCGTGACTTCTACTTAAACTAGACAGAGTGGCGTCCCTCCTTGATGTTGTGCATTCCAGGCAGTGCAGGCTGCCACAGGCAGGGACCCAAACCCAGATGCACGCGAATGATCTCATGGGATACTCTCTTATTGGAGTACAGTTTAGTGTACTCTAGGATAGAGAGTGGGTTTGTGTTAAGTCACAGCATCCATGTCCCCTGAAGAAGTGGGTACGAATATGGGACTTTGCACTTACAGAGACTTGGATGTGCTTGTATCTCCCTGCCTGTCAGAGAGGAATCTCCGCATAAAGCATATTTCTGTGATTAGTTGTAAATATGCATTTAGAAATTTGTAGGTGTCTTTTGAGTGCCTAGTATTGTGATTTAGCTTCTGTATTGCTGATACTGACTTTTAATTGCATAGCTAACTGATTTCTCATTAATAATATTTTAATGAATCACCAAACTGACGATTTTGCTTAAACTTTGCAAACTGAGCAGAGTCTTACTGTGCTACTCAGCAGTAGATATATTGATGAAAATCAAAATTACATATTCAACCAGTAGGCTAACTAGATTTATTTACTTTTCATTTTATTATATAACATCCTTAGGATAGTTACGCAAATACCATTACCTTCACTCTCTACAAATGATGACAGAATTTTCCTTTATATAACAATATTTCATTATAGTAATTCTACTATCCTTATGGAAACTAAGATTTTTATAATACCAGTTAAATTCTGACAGTAGAACTCACTGAAAAGCATTTATGTATATATTTTTCTCTTACCTCCCACTCTTCCTTTTCCTCGGGTTTTAGTCGTAGCTCATAGTGATATAAATGATTAGAGCTGGCATCAGCTAATAGAGGTGGAGACCATTTTGCCCAAAGGTACATTATATTAGCAGATCTTTGTGTTTCTAATGTGAGATTCACAGGAGAACCTGGCTGAACTGTACAAATGAAAAGTTTGCCATTAATGATTCATGTATTCAATGTTTCAATTATTAATTTTTCTCTGAAAAGATTCCTCCTTTGTTGGTTTGTTTTTTTTTTCTTTTTCATAGCAATGTCAGACAGGTTGCTGAACAAAGGGCATGGAGTGATGTAATAGGGATCACAAAATTAATAAAATGGGGATTAATCAGGTTCACCTCCAGCACATACAGGTTAGCAGAGAGCAAGTTAAGAAGACAGCATGCTAGGGGTGCCTCTGTTAGACGCCTATACGCTGGCTACATTCTCATTGGGATCACAGAGAAGTAATGGGATGGTTACAGAGAAGTAATGGGATGGCTACCATGATTGGCCCTGCCTAGGGATGGATGAGGAGATGACTGAGAGTTTATGGAAATACATGGCTAAGTGAGTTGACCTTATAGTGAAGGTAACCTTATAGTGAAAGTCTGCTACAGGCCCTCTGACCACAGAGACTGTGCAGATGAGGCTCTCTACACAGAAGCGGCCTCATGTTCACAAGCTCTTGTCATGTGGGACTTTAACCAATACGTATCTCTTGGAGGGACAACACAGCAGGACACGAGCAACCTAGAGGCTCCTGGAATGTGATGATAACTTCTTCCTCCAAGTGACGGAGTAACCGACAAGAAGAAGCGCTACGCTGGACCACATTCTTGCCAACAAGGAAGAGTTTATTGGGAGTATGAAACTCACAGACAGCTTTGGCTGCAGTAGCCATGAAATCGTGGAGTTCAAAACCCTTAGAAGAAGGATGAAAAGCAAACCTTACAACCATGGGCTTCAGAAAAGCAGACTTTGAGCTTTTCAAAAATCTGCTTGGTAGAGCTCTTTGGAATAAGGCTTTGAAAGGAAGAGTGGCCAAAGAAAGCTGACTATTATTCAAAGATTGCTTCCTCTAAGCTCAAAAGCAATGCAAAAGAGGAAGTTGGGCAGATTTCCAGGAGGCCTGCATGGATGAAGAAGGATCTCCTGACCAAACTCGAACAGAAAAAGTAAAACTACAGACAGTGTAAGCAATGATGGGTAACCTGGGAAGAATACAGAGATACAGTCAGAGCATCCAGGAATGGAATTAAGAAAGCTAAAGCCCAAGTGAAATTGAATCTGGCCAGAAGTGTCAAAGACAACAAGGGCTTCTACAATTACATGAGTGACAAAAGGAAGATTAGAGAAAATGTGGTCCCCCTGCTAAATGAAATGGGAGACCTGGTTGAACAGGACAGTGAAAATGCTGAGGTACTGAATGCTTTCTTTGTCTCAGTCTTCACCAGAAAGTCTGGCCTTTGGGAATCTAAGTTCCCAGGTAGATGTTGCTGAAGCAAGGAGGCTGTGCCCTCAGTGGAAGAGGATCAGGTCAGGGAACAACTGAGCAAACTGGATATTTGTAAGGTCATAAGCTCTGATGTGATGTATCTGAGTGCTGAGGGAGGTGGCAGATGTAATTATAAGGCATCTCAATAATTTTCGGTCCATCATGGCAACCGAAATAAGTGCTTGAAGCCTGGAGGAAATAAAGTATCACTCTTCTATAAAAGGGCAAGGAAGAGGACCCAGAGAACTAAAGGCTGGTCAGCTTCATTTTGATCCCTGGGAAGGTAATGGAATAGCTAATTCTGCAAAACATTTCCAGGTACTTGAAGGAGAAGAAAATCAGAGGCGGCTAGGGTGGATTCAACAAGGAAAACTTATACTTCACTAGTCTGCTGAGCTTCTGTAATTAAATGACCAACCTGACAGATGAGGGGAAAACAGTAGATACTGTCCTCCTGGACTTCAGTAAGATCTTTTACACTCATTCCCAGGGGATTATCTTAGATAAGCTATTAAGGTATGGGCTGGAGGAGCAGACAGTGAGGTGGATTGAAAACTGGCTAAACAGCCAGGCCAGGCAGTAGAGATCATTGGTGCAAAGCGAATATGGAGACTAATAACAAGCAGAGTACTCCAGGGCCAATACTGGGTCCAGTTCTGTTTAATATCTTTGTTAATGATCTGGATGATGGTGTAGAGCTCACCCTCATTAGATTTGCAAATGACACAAAACGTGGGGTAGAGACTCACCAAATATCCAGAGGTACTTCAACAAGCTGGAGACACAAGCTGGCAAATATCTCGTTGGTCAATGAGCAGGAGTACAAAGTCCTACAGATCAGGAGGATCCAGTATTCCAGTACATAGTAGGGCCACCAAACTGGAAAGTAATTTTGTAGAAAACAACCTAGAAGTTCTAGTGGACACGAAGTTGAGGAAGAGTCAGCAACATCTCCTTGCTGCTAAGAAGGCTAGAAGTATTCTTGGCTACATTAGATAAAGAATTGCCAGCAGGTCAAGAGACATGATACTTCTCCTCTGCTCAGCACTGGAAAAGCTGCACCTGATGTACTACATCCAGTTTTAGGCCCACCAAGTACAAGACAGACATTGACATGCTGGAAAGAATTCAGAGAAAGGGCCATCAAAACAATGAAAGCCTTCTGTGAGAACAGGCTCAAAGCTGGAACTGTTCAGACTACAGGCTGAGTGAGAAATCTCATCAATGTGCTTGAGTACATCAAGGAAGTCTACAGACAGGATGAAGCCAGGCTGCCTTCAGTAGTGCCCAGTGCCAGAACAAGAGGCAAAAGGCACAGACTGGATGTCTGAACACCAGAAAGCAGTTCTGGAAGCAGTTCTGTACTGTACAGGTGATAGCACACTGCCCAGAGAGGTATTGGAATCTCCTCCTTGAAGATCTTGAAACGCTTTCTGGACATGGTTTTGGCAACTTGCTCTGGGTGCCCTGCTTGAGCATAGGTTGGACCAGATATACCCAGAATTCCCTTCTTACTTGTTCTGGTTGAGCTGAGAAAAAATTGATCTTAATTCATAGCGCCTGGTATGATACTGTGTTTTGGCTTTAGGAGAAAAACAATGTCATTAACATTGCAGTAGTTCAGTAGTTGCTGAGCAATGCTGCACAGAGTCAAGGACATTTTAACTTCTTGTACTGTCCTGTCAGTGAAGTGGATTAGGGTGGCGCACAGGGAGCTAGTAGGGGAAAGAACCAGAACACTTGCTCTGAATTGTCAAAAGGGATATTCCACAAGATATCATGTGAAAAAAAATATAAAACTGAGGGATCTGGTCAGCGAGTCAGCTGCTGCTACAGAACTGTTTGGGCATTGGTCAGCAGGTAGTGAGCAACTGTGTTGTGCACAATTTATTTCTAAATATACACAATTATCATTAATATTGTTTTCTTTTCCTCTTCCTTTCCCATCTTAGCAAATTGTTTTTGATGTCAACCCACAAGTTCTACTTCATGTTATTTTTCCAGTTCTCTTTCCTATTGTCATAATTTCAGCTGAAATAGAATTGTTTTCTTCATAGGAGCTGAGACAGGATCAGGACAGCTGACTTACACTGGCAAAGGCATATTTTATACTACATGAAATGGTATGAAACTTCAAGTGGAAGGAGTTTTGGAGGGGGTGGGAGTTCTTCTGGTTCTCTTCCACAACTTGGGTCCAGTTGGGCAGAGGGAAGTGTCAAGCAATTCCTTGTGCCTCACTTGTTCTACACATTCATATATATATACACACATACAGTCATAACTATTTTCCTTTTCTATTAGTAAATAGTTTCTATCTCAATCCACAAGCTCCACTTTGTTGTTGTTTTTTTTTTTTTTTTCCTTTTGCTTCTCTCCTCCATCCCCCTGGGAAGGTGGGAAGTGAGCAAATGCCTGTGTGTTGCTCAGTGATCTGCCACGTTGACAACACCTATCGACAGGGAGAGGGAAATGAGCAAATGGTTGTGCAGTGCTTAGCTGCCTGCTGGGTTAAACCACAGCACCACCTCAACCATTCTGTTGTCTTTTTGTTTTCTGTTTTGTAATTCATTATATTAATTTCAGATCATTCAGTCCCTCTGTGAAGTTACAGTACAACAGACTTTTTTTGCCTTTTCTCTCTAACAGTGTTAACTGGCTACTAATCTAAAACAGGATCAGCAAATCTTAGACTTAACTCTGAATTTGTTATGCTAAGGAAACAGAAATAATAATTTCATTCAGCCGCTCTTGTAAAATGAAAGTGTGGCCAAAAAGACTGTGTACACTGTAGAGTGTTGTATGCAGAAAACAGAATGGACTTAAGAATATGAAATACTGCACAAAACAAACAAAAAATGTGAGGTTCTTAGGCATATTTTTACCCATCCAAGACTGCAATGCCAACAACCAGAAAGATGTTTACATTGGGAAAACCTAATCTGGAACACTTCTGACAATTTGACCTAATTTGAAGGTTTGATAATCCACAGTGCTAGGAGCCTACAAAACTGTTTAGACTCAGCTGACTCTAACTGAAATACTGGAAGTAACTAGAAACTGGAGCAATTTTTCAGCCACAATTAAGGTAGTGCTAGAATATGCTTTTACATGATTTGCAAGTAAAATGCGGTTTGCACATACATTAGAGGTACCTACTTCACTTGAGATCATCGGCAGATAAACACTCCTCCATTAGCAAGTTTCATACTATGAGGAAAGAAATCTTTCACCACTACTTGTTCTTGGATTAAAAAACAGATATGTCTCAAACTAGGTTGCTTTTTTTTGTTTTTGTGTTTTTTGCATTTCATTCTTTCTTTTTTACCTATGGAAGTCACATCCACATACTGAGGATCCGAGCTGTTACTTCCAATCTCATTCGTTGCTGTTACAGTGATATTATATGTTGTCCATGAATTAGTGTGGTTTCTATTGAAGTAGCAGGAATTGGGACCTGATGTTCTGTAGTCTGGACATTCATAGATTTTTTCTTCACTGAAACAAAATGATTTAAAAAGTTCAAAGTTTAGGAAACGAATCAAAGTAGATAATTTTCTAGTAATGGCCTAAGTTCAGCACAGACCTTTAAAATGTTAAACTTTAAGCCTATATATAACCGCATCTCTGGGAAACATTTCAGTGAATGTCAAATGCTATTACCATAAATGCTCCATTGACTCATAAAGCTATTTTTATGCAGTTGTTCAAGACGAAAGTTTTTATCTGCTTTTTTATACACCAGAATGTGTTGCCAAAAGAATGGAAAAAGAAATTTCCAGAGACAATACACAGTAATTTAAAAAACATTTAGAAGCAAGTTAAAAGGCAGATATTAACCATTTTACCTAATGAAGGAAAATTGCTAAATGTCTTCTTTACATATTTTTACTGGAAAATAACCTGATAGGCTCTATGGCAGAAGGGTGTTTTATTACTTATTTTGTTTTCAGTAATGTGTTCATTTATCTGCTTTTGAATGTGAACATGGCCATGCCTCTTACATACTGTCTTCTGCCTTAGGAGTCTTCAGCTTTTTTTTAGAGGTGTGTTTTGTACTCCTTAAAGCTGAATTGGGACTTTTTCTAGGTGTAAAGAACTGCAGAAGCACAAAGCATCACCTCAGACTGCTAAAGGACACATTTTATTCACTTCGTTGTGATGATCTATACACCAGTTGTAACAAGATCTTTCAGTGTCTATGCAGCTTTGTCCCAGTTCACAAAGCAAAGATGTAAGAGGACTGCACCAGAGACAACAAGTTAAGAAAGGTAACTCTGGCCTAAATCTGGAGTGCTTAGCAACACCTATGTTTCATCAGATTTAATAAAAATGATAAGCATCTATATCCATCTCCAGGCAGCACTCTTCTGGGCTGTGACTGGTATGATGTAAAATGCTCATAAGAAGTTCTATTCTGATCAAGATCAAAACTCCTGGACTTTCATAAAATGAAAGTTCTACAGATATGCTCATTGCAGATAAGGAAAATGTCATCTCTCTCAGTTCATTTTTGATTGTGGTAACTTCATTAAAAGGTGTACCCTTATCAATTAATACAAGTGATCTGGAGTTGGTTTAATTTAAGCAGGGATGTCTGAGGCTTTACCGTATCTATTTTGAACCTCACTGGATTTGCTCAATGCAATTCAATCTCAGCTTCCCTGCTTACTTGTACATATTACGAGACCTCTTTTTAAAGGAAGGAAGGGCTCTTATATTAAGAAGCACAGGTTAAGCAAAGTCACTAAGCATATGCATTCTATTCTTAAACACTATGAGGGTGTCACAGATTTACCAAACCAGTTTTGAGATGCAATACCCACATCTGATTTTACCCCATTTTGTGAGCCACCAGCTTGACTATGAATTCAAATAGGGAAGTCTCTTAAATAGACTTTCTCCAGATGTGTGTTAGCTCCTTGGTGCCCTTAGGGCACCACCAGCCCTTATTGTAATTGCCCAGCCTCCCCCACTCTACCTTTGGCCAAGACTCCATTTCAGCCCACAGCAGCAGGGCCCATCTCCAGCTCCCTGCAGCCTGACCATGGGCCCCACTGAGCTGGCTTGGACCATGGGTGACATCCTTGCGCAACACAACTTTGGGCTGTCCCCATCCCCAGGATTGTGCCCCATGCCTGGGGCTGAGGTTGCCCCACTACCTACCTTGCTTCCCTTCAGTAGGCAGGAAGGGCCCTGGCTGATGATTTTGCTTTGCCTGCCCCAGAGAAGTTCCCACAGACCCCAGCCCTCATGGTACCCTGATGCTCCCCGCCTCAGAGAAGCACGCTGTTCAAATTAAAGCTGTGTGCCACCTGATAAGAAGGACAAATTACATCTTTCCCCAAATTTCAGCTCATCTGAGTTTCATTAGGGGCAGGATGAAGGTTTGGTTCTGCTAACAGTGATGTCTTTTTTCTACCAAGGGAAACCTATTAATAGTCCTTGTTTGCTATCTGAAGTTTCATGTATTCATAAAAAATAGTTTTCATACATGAATGTTATCATCCCTCATTCTGACATAATCATCACTTGATAACTTACTTATTCACCGCTTTTTACCTGTCCTTGCTGTAGAACAGGGTGTAATTGGTAGGAAGTCCTCCATCTGAACCAGGCTTCCACCAACAAGAAAAGGTTTCCTTTTCTAGAGAACGACATCTTATTATCTTAGGTTTTCCAGGGAATGATTGACCTAGGGAAGTGCAGAAATCCAACTAGTTATATTACGGCTGGACAGTGTTGGTTTTTTTTTCTTTCTTTCTTTCTTTCTTTCTTTCTTTCTTTCTTTCTTTCTTT